CACCCCTTTTTCTAGTTTTCATAGCAATAGTCATGGATTATTTGCAGTTGTACCCACGGGTGAAGAATGATGTTCTAAAACTAAATCAGTGTGTTGTACTTGGGATTGCATGAATAGCTTGAGACGTGAGCATGTTTTCGCTATCGAAGGGGATGAATCCCAAGTAGTTTGTGAACCTTATGCGGATAATGAGCTCATCTGTGTAAGTCCCTTGTCAAATAGTGAAGATTTTACCCTTGACACTATAAGGAAAATTTATATCACTCTTATCCCTTAGTCTTGACTAGAGAAACTTGTTTTAGCATATCTAAAAATTTCATATATCACTTAAAAATTAAGATTAAGAATAGTTTATAAATATTTTTTCTCTTTAACTTACTGAAATATTTTTTTATTAACAAAATTATGACGATTCAACGAGTATCAAAACAAATATCTTAAATACGATAACCTTAGTGATAATAACGAATTTATAGAACAAATATATACGAAAAGTTACCTTAACACACTCGGTGATAGTTCGACATATTAATTCTTGACATGATCACTAATAATAACTATCCATAGTATTTGGACCCTTTGAAGCTTTGGTTGATCATAACTATGTTGATCGATCCCGAGACAATCGGTTGGAGACTAATTTACTAAATATATTGAACAACCATCCTATATCTATTAACTTTTTTTTTCGTACATCTATTAACTCATTTTAACAATACATGTTAAAAATATAGGTGATAGAACATAAGAAGAGAGGAAAATCAAAGATAATGATATTTAAACAGATAAAGATAATCGGTAATTCATACATCGGGAAGCAACTCAAATGATAAAAAGATAGATAAATCAAAAAATAATGGTCAGTCCAAATTGTCATGAATAAGAGATAAAAAATATTAAAAACAGTTTGAAACATCTATCGACCCATTAAAAATTTGACACTTCTCAATGATTATATCATGAAATAATTATTTAATTTAATATTTTATAATTTAAATTATATTATATTGTATTTTTACTTATTTTATTTTTGTTAATCTACAATGTTGGTTTTTTTTATTTTAAAATAAAGACATATAATATCTTTAATTTTAAAAATATAGGATTTTAACTTACTTTTCAAATTAAAATCTATTAATCGTTAAATTTTGATATTTATTTATACTTAAGTGATGTAATATTTAATAATATGACATTTAAAAATAAAAAAATCAAAAAACAAAATCATATAAATAAGATTTATTAATAAACAAATATTAATCATTCATTAAAATAGATACAAATAAATATTTTTTGTATGTTATTATTTTTCTTATTTTTATATATCAAATATTATGTCATTTAAGTGTTTAGGATAAGGTAAAAATTAAACAATTAATGTACATCAAATTAATGAAAAAATCAAAATTTCATATTTTAAAAAATATAGAGACTAAATGTATCTATTTTAAAATAAATGGACCAAAACTTTGGATCAACAAAAATAGAAAAATAAAAGTACAATTTATTTTTAAATCAACTTTTTATAATTCACAACAAATTTCAACTAGTTGTTTAGAATGATATAACATTTCTCAAATACTAAAATGAAAAAGTTAAGTAACTATATAATGGGCAAGCTAAGTAAACATGACTAAATTTTTACTCATTATCATACACTTGTGTTCTGGTCAGAACTACCCTAACTTCTATAAAAAAAAAATTATTTTAAAAAAAATGCCAATGTAGTTAACTCCCAAATTTATAATAGACGAATCGCACGGTACCCCGGTGGTGAATGGTGATTTATAATATTGTTCTGATGCTCGGCCATGTGCAGGCTTCATGTGCAAGCATCTGTGTCGGAATTCTGGGAGTTACAATTAATGATTATTATTATTTAACTAGTAGGCCATTGGCACTGGCTAACCAAAATGTCGTTCATAATTGATCACACTACAAAATCTTTACACCTTATAATAATTTGGATTCAGTTATTTTTTTTCTCCCAATAATCTAATGACCTATATCTTTTATTTAACTTGATCAGACCTCCGAAGTAAAAAAATGCATATATTCCCTACTTAGATTATGCATGCATGTGTGAATCAAGTTGTACAAATCTGAATTAACGTTAGACAAATTAAAGCACGACAAATTGCCAGTGAGAAACAAACCTTAATCAACCTGGTAAGGACTTGAATCCAAGTGTCCCATGACACATTGTTTAATATTTGTTTGACACTGGACCAAGTCATGCCATGCCTTCCCATTCACGGGGTCGACTCCGCTTACCGAAGCTCAACTGCTGAAACCACCTCTTCAATTAATATTGCTTCCACTCATCTCTTTTGCCTTTCTTCACAAGTTTTTAACCCTAGCTACTTGCTTCATTGATTTTCGTTCACTTTAGCCTAGTCAAACTAATTAATCTTCTCTCTCTCTCTACATTATCTGTTAAAAATGCTTGGTTGCTGATCAACTGAGCAAAATGTCAAGAGGTTTAACTTATTAGAGAAGGAAAGGAGAAACACGATCCGTTCATTGGGGGAAGCAAAGATGGGATAAGACTAATTGTGAGTTCAAAGAAACAGCCACATTCTGTTCTACTCTATTCGATGTTGATGAAATCAAAGGTAAAAACAAACATTATGTAGTGCTAGGCGCCACTGAGCAAAGTGTTACATTCGCTCAATGAATAGTCAAATTTCTTTTTGGCCCTTAATCATTGTACACCAACTTAAAGGCATAGGGGGCAGAATCTTTTCACAAAGTCTGATATCGTCTACAAAATGTCTTAAATGAAAGAATGAAGGAATGACATGGACATCACTACATTTCACCTCTAAAATTTTGTATCTGCAAGCCCTTTTTTATTCCCTTTTAAATTTTTTTTGTTTTTTTTATTAATATTGAGTTGGTTAATTAGCATTAATGTACATGTTACTTTCATTTAATTCCTATTTATTAGTATGGAGTTAGTTTACTAACCTTTGTTTTGAAAATTCCTATTTTGGATGAGGGTTGGTTGATCTTTAAGCATATATGTATACATGTTACTTTCATTTAATTCGTTGTTTAGTAGAGTACTATGGACGCTAATTTTAGTTAACATGCAATCACAATCGTAATTAACCGTTGGTTTGGTCTATCTTAAATCATCTATCGAGCGTCCATAGTCCATTCTTTCTTGAAGCATTAACTTTTTGGTGATCTCCCTCGAACAGCCATGGCCCCAACCTTCTCCTTTCTAGTAGCTCTTGGCATCTTTTTCTATATGGGAAGAGAATATGTATTAAAGAAAAGCAAGATGTATCTGCTTTAAGAGTCCTTTTAACCTTTTATCCCTAGCAAAGAATAAAAAGGGTTGATCTTAATGAAAAATAATTAAAGGGGCTTTTACTATTAATAGAGCCAGAAAGTAAAAGTATCACAAACTTTAGTCTAGATCATGTTTTCAATTGAATTTTCCACCATATAAAGCAGGTATCGGACCTTTTGAATCTTGGGTTTGATCAATTTTTAAAAGGGTAATTAATTGGCTCCTTTCGTACCTTTTTGGATTTTTAAATATTAGGTCAGTAAAGCTGCCACGAAATATTAAAAAAAAAAAAAATCAGGAGCCAAGCTAATAAAGAATAAGACTAAAGTGCAGGTGATAATGCGTTCCCATGTGTGAGCTGAAACCTGATCAATGTTTAGTTCCTCAAGTCTGAAACGGATGTACTAGGCAAGACGAAAATTGTTACCTAAAATTCGGGGTGGTGCTACCTTGCAATGGCAAATAATCTAATGGAGAATCTACAGTATCTGCATTGTTGCATAAAAGATGTAAACGGACAGAATTGAGGGTCCGTTTGATTTTTGTCCACCGTCAAAATAAGGATACCTTTTTGCTCAGAGTCCTTGCACTAAAGAATTGTTTTCGAGAGCAATCTCATCAAGGTTACAGATTACAATTTCTGTTTAGTTTCATATTTAAGATAAAAATCACGTTAAAATTAATGAAAAATAACTAATAATTGTTATTTTTATCGATCTTCCTTCTAGTGAAATTGATGTGAATCTGTTCGTCGTACAACTATAAGAAAAAACAAGACGGTTCCGACGGTGATTAGATATGGTACTATGTATTTATTGTCCCCATTGCTAATTAATGGGTCCATATCTTCTGGCGGTAATGAAATTCAATGTGGCCTGGTCCTTAATATGTTCATACATGCCATGACACACACCTATTATTATTCGTGAGCGCCAGTCAAATTACAAATTGAGGACACTGAATTGAGATCAGATTTTTTTTTCTTTTTTCACTTCAATTAATTATTCCAATAATGACGTTTCGACGGGATAGTAGAATTACGTTTGGGACCCCCTTCAATAATGGCATGACACACAGCTACATGTTAAGCCGATGCATAAATTATGACATAGAAGAGAGATACTGTTGTTGTTTATGTTCCTCCTTTTAAAAACATTTCCTCGTTGGTTCTCAATCTTTCCCCTTCCCTGTTCCTTCGCGAAGGTGAAAATAATGGCATCCAATCCAACTACTGAGGGTGACGGGGAATATCGATTTCGATTGGCGTAGAATTTTATTAATTTTTCACTCCCCTTATAATTAATAGGAAATGAGAAGAAAACAAATGACAGCTTGTGCATTTAGCAGCCATAAATAGTAGTAGCCAATATTTTTATTCTTAGTTTTAATTTAAGAGTAGTAATTAATATTAAAGAATAGGCAAAGACATAATTATATTGACACAGGGATTCGATCATTGGAAGTCAATCAGCGAAACACCACTAGAGATCACATATTTTCTAACTTCATCTGCGTGTCTAGTAGTCGTCGAAAAGATGCTATACACGCATCACTTTTACAAGTAGAGTACTAGGAAGAGAGAGAGAGAGAGAGAGAAGAGAAGCTGTTAAGTAATTAACTATTTCGAGCTCAACCATAAATTATAGCAGCACAGAGAGCATATTTGTAAGTGGTTCGGTTTTTGGTGAGCTGTTTATGTCTTGCATCATTTTCCCCCAAAATATTCATTTTATTTTTTATTTTTTATTTTTTTGTATATCCCATCCACATGGCCCTCTGTCCCATAACCCATTGCAATAAATCCCCGTTACCCCTTTCCCTCCTCTTTCTCCCTCCGTTCTGACCCTCAGCGATGTGGGATTACTGTGTGAAATGATGAGTCTCCTCTTTCGAGCTTTGATCATTTCATTGGCTCTTGTCGTCACTGTAAACCCATGTTGCGCCCTAACTAGAGACGGTGTGCTGTTGCTCTCTTTCAAGTACGCTGTGCTGAACGACCCACTTAACGTCCTCGCCAACTGGAACTACACTGACGAGTCCCCGTGTTCGTGGAACGGAGTGTCGTGTTCAACAAACGGCACGGAGTTCCGCGTGACTTCGTTGTCGCTTCCGAATTCTCAGCTTCTGGGTTCGATCCCCTCCGATCTGGGCTCCATCCAACACCTTCAAATTCTCGACCTTTCCAACAACTCCCTCAACGGCTCTCTCCCAGCCTCGCTCTCCCAAGCCTCCGAGCTTCGCTTCCTCAACCTCTCCAACAACCTCATAACGGGGGAGCTTCCGGACTCCTTAACGGAGCTTCGGAGCCTCCAGTGTCTTAACCTCTCCGACAATGCCTTCGCGGGAAAGCTTCCCAACGCTTTCTCCGACATGCAAAACCTAACTTCCGCTTCGTTTAAAAACAATTACTTCTCCGGCTTTCTCCCCACCCATTTGAGAACGTTGCAGGTTCTCGATCTCTCCTCCAACCTCTTGAACGGGACCCTCCCCGCGGATTTCGGCGGCGACGCCTTCCGTTACCTCAACATCTCCTACAACAGATTCTCCGGCGACATCCCGACGGAGTTCGCCGCGAGGATTCCGGAGAACGCCACCGTGGATCTCTCCTTCAACAACCTCACCGGCGAGGTGCCTGACTCCGCGGTGTTTTTGAATCAGAACTCGAAATCGTTCTCTGGGAACGTTAACCTGTGTGGAGAACCAACCAAGAATAATTGTCCTATTCCTTCTTCTCCGTCGGTGGAACCGAAAGTGTCGTCTCCTATATCTCCTCCAGCGATCGCCGCGATCCCGAAGACTTTTGATTCGCCGGCGGGGGAGAAAGAAAGCGGTCTCCGGCGAGGAACGGTGATAGGAATCGTGGTGGGAGATGTGATCGGCGTTGGAGTGTTGGCGATGTTGTTTGTGTACGTGTACCGGATGAAGAAAAAGAAGGACGCGGAGGGTGCGGCGAAGAACGAAGCGAGCGTGAGAAGGAGTGGGAGTGAGAGTTCGTCAACCTCGGAGTCGAGAGGGTTTACGAGGTGGTCGTGTTTGAGGAACAGAGTTGAAGAAGAAGAGGGTTCGGAGACAACAAGGTCTTCGGAGAGTGACGTGGAGGGTGGTGGCACGCAAGAGAACCAGAACCATAATAAAGCAGAGGGCAAAACGGGAACTCTTGTGACCGTGGACTGTGAACGACAACTTGAAGTCGAAACGCTGCTGAAGGCTTCGGCGTACATATTGGGCGCCACGGGGTCGAGCATAATGTACAAGGCTGTGCTGGAAGACGGCACGTCGTTGGCGGTTCGCAGAATCGGCGAGAGTGGCGTGGAGCGTTTCAAGGACTTCGAAAACCAGGTTCGGGTTATCGCTAAACTGGTTCACCCTAACCTCGTTCGCGTTCGTGGCTTCTACTGGGGTCACGACGAGAAGCTCATCATCTATGATTTCGTTCCAAACGGTTGCCTCGCCAATGTTCGTTACAGTAAGTCCCTTCTCGTGCACGTTAGCATAGTCATTTTCATTTCGCTAAACTGCGCTAGATATATAATTTTGACAATGACGGTGGAGTAGTTGCAACTGAGCCCTTTACTTTAATGCATCTATAGTCAACCATGTCCAGATAGCGATACGCGTGCCCATAATTGGAAACACTAAATATGCCCATTGTTTCCTCTCTCGTCACTCTCTTCTCGTGTCCTTTCAAAACAGGACCATTTAATTTAATTCTGCTTTTCTAAATTTTTAATTTTATAACTTTGGTCAATGTTACTGTGATGATGATGATGATGAACAAGTAAAAGTAAAAAATTGGTGTGGTTGGAATGTAGGGAAGGTGGGGTCCTCGCCGAGTCATTTACCGTGGGAAATCCGGCTCAAGATAGCCAAAGGGGTGGCACGTGGGCTGACTTACCTCCACGAGAAGAAGCACGTGCATGGAAACTTGAAGCCTAGCAATATTCTACTGGGCAACGACATGGAGCCCAAGATTGGAGACTTTGGGCTTGAGAGGATTGTCACGGGTGACACCAGTTATAAGGCTGGCGGGTCCGCGCGTATTTTTGGGAGCAAGAGATCCACGGTGTCCAGAGATAGTTTCCAAGACGTTACGTTTGGGCCAAGCCCGAGCCCGAGCCCGAGCTCAATAAGCGGGGTGTCTCCTTACCATGCTCCCGAGTCGCTCAGGAACCTGAAGCCTCACCCGAAGTGGGATGTGTACTCCTTCGGGGTCATGTTTCTGGAGCTGCTAACGGGGAAGATTGTGGTTTTAGATGATATGGGCCAAGGGCCTGGGCTTTTGGCTGAGGATAAGAACCGGGCCTTGCGCATGGTTGATATGGCTATCCGGGCTGACATGGAGGGTAGGGAGGAGGCCTTGTTGACCTACTTCAAGCTAGGGTATAGTTGTGTGTCTGGGGTTCCACAGAAAAGGCCTCCAATGAAAGAGGTGCTACAAGTTCTTGAAAAGATCTCATCCTCGTCTTCCTCGTCCTCGTATTATTATAGCGTCTAAACCATGACACACTGGTTTTGTAGAAAGAAAAGAAGGAGAAAAAAAAATGTACTTATGATTGACTAATAGGTTTTTGTGTTTGATTCAATATTGTGTGTTGTAATTGTGCCAAGTCCATTGACTATTTCTCTGTTGATTCATTTGCTAATTAATTTTCAACGAATAGATAGATTCTATCTTGATTCCTTTTTCGACTCCCACTGAAATCCTTTTATTTATTATTTATTCTCTTATGATGGATCTTCCGAACCGAAATTCTTGCAACTTATAAGAAATGAATCACTCAATATGGCCGAATATGAACCAAACAAAAAGTGTACAAGTTTTAATAAAGAAGAAATTTTCACACGTCAGCTGAATTCTTTATATTCAATTAAATCCAGTTTATTAATTTTCTGTTCTTATTTTATTTAACCGGTTTTGTTAAGCTATTATTTAAGCATGAAAAATTAACAATGTTAACATTAGTTAACGTTTATTTTGTTTTGTTTTATTTTGACAGCAACAAAATCAGTACAATTCCATTGCAATAAGATTTTGAATGCAAGGACATAAAGGAAAGATACAAGAGTATGCATAATTGACAGAATTCTTAGCTAAAGTGTGAGCCATAATATCGCTTATCTTCTCACAAATTGAATAGTGTAACTAAGATTAACTATCTCCTCTGCACTATAAATCTGATTAACAATAATCTTGCGATATGACTCCACTATGACAGAGTCAGAGAGTGCATACTTGGAATTTGGGTTATTGAAATTTAAAACAAACTCATACGTCTGGTTCATAGAGATGAATATAATTAGAATTAGTACAAGATTTCTATCTAATGATTTAATTTATCATATGTTGTATAAGATTCCCAATCCTCAATTAAATGAATTCAATGCAAATCACGGAATTGAAATTATCCAGTGATAACCAGGAGAAAGAACGGGGTTTCTACTTGGCATGCATGCAAAATTGAGGGATATTGAAACACTCACCATAGATTAAATTGAGCACATATCCGTAATTCTGTACTGCAATATTCTTAAATTTTTTATTTGACAAATGAAAAAGTGATGCCATAATAGCTAGATTATATTAGCAATGATGGTTATTATGCTTCAGGTTATAGAGAAACGATATTATATGCTATAGGGATGATGATGGAATTAATGTTGTAGACTGTAGCTGAAGCTGAGGCTATGATTTATTTGAAGGGCGCTGAGCAATTATGAAACTAAAAAGAGAAAGTTCTGTGAATTTGGACTTTGATACTGCTGCCACAACAACTTTCCATTGCATCCGTCACCAAAGCTTTCCCGTATTAATGTTCTTTCCAAGGTACTGTAATTTTGTTTGAGACAACTAACCCGTTTACTATTGTTTCTTTAACTCTCGACTTGTTACTATTTATAAAACAAATTTCTCTGAGTCAGCATATCAATTATTATTCATGTGAGTGAGTGTGTACATGTACGGATTTGTTAATGTTAGGTTCATATATACTAGAGGGAATGGAACTGCCACTTGTTTAATTTTCAGCTTCTTGTTTGAGATTGTTAGACTAGGATGTGGATTGCGTAGAATCAAAGACGGAATGGGAGCAGAATCTTTCTCATTTATTTTATTTTATAAACCTTACAAAACTAAAACTAATGAAGTATGAGCCCCAAAAAAAATGAGTTAAAAATTTAAAGGTAAAAATAAGTTGAGTAAGCTTTATAAGCCTTGGATCTAATTTATCTAGTATTAAAAGCGCAAACTTAACCTATTTATCTATTATTAAAAGTCTATTTTGGCTATATATATCTAAAAACCTATTTAATAGTGGTAAGTTCTATATTAAATAAAGTTATACACAGTTCTAAGCAAATTAATGTAGTTACACTTATATTTGGGTTAATAAGTTTAAATAAACTAACAAGTAGAAATTTAATATAATGGTAATAATAAAATAATTCTGTTATGATTATATTATTTTATTTTTTTTATTTTTATTTTAAATATGGAATTCTATTTAGCCTAGAAAGCTTTCTGAATAATTTAAAGTATGAAATTTTGAACTAATTAAGTTTATGAAAACAAATATTTCCTTGACTTGTTTAATAAATTGCCTAATAAAAACATTGGAAGTTAAGTGATTAGCCCTAACAAGTGGATTAATTATTTGTATTCTTACTTAGTATTAGGGGGTGGCAAATGAATTCATTTATTCATCATTCATTCAATTTATTCACAAGTAAATTCATTTAATCTATCTACTACGATAAAAATAAATAATAAATCAAATCAAATCCATCTATTTAATTTTATAGATGATTAATGATTCATCCATAAGGATGACAAATGATGTATAAATGGTGTAAGTTAGGCATTTGTATTCTTAACAAGTGGATTAGTCCTAACAAGTGAATTTGTATAAATGGTGTAAGTTTAATAAATTGCCTAATAGAAACATTGGAAGTTAAGTGATTAGTCCTAACAAGTGGATTAATTATTTGTATTCTTACCTAGTATTAGGGGGCGGTAAATGAATTTATTTATCCATCATCCATTCAATTTATTCACAAGTAAATTCATTTAATCTATCTACTACGATAAAAATAAATAATAAATCAAATCAAATTCATCCATTTAATTTTACGGATGATTAATGATTCATCCATAAGGATGACAAATGATGTATAAATGGTGTAAGTTAGGCAATTAGCCCTAACAAGTGGATTAATTATTTGCATTCCTACTTAGTATTAGGAGGTGACAAATGAGTTCATTTATCCATCGTACATTCGATTCATTCACAAGTTAATTTATTCAATTTATCTACTACAATAAAAATAAATAATGGATCAAATTCAATTCATCCATTTAATTTTGTGGATGGTTAGTGATTCATCCATTACTTTTTCAAAATATTTTGTTATTAGATTGAAATTTTAAAGACTATTTTGACATTAAAAAAAACTTGTGAATTTGCTTTAAATGAATTGGATAAATTGGATTTTTATATGAATTTTTAATAAATATAAATAAATTAATTAATTATTTTTATCCGATCTATTAAGATTCATCTAAAAAATTATTCAATCCATCTATTTGTCACTACTTAGTATCATTGGAATGTGTAACCAAAATATAAAAAAATATATTTGATGCTTAATAGTAAACACTAAACACACTTTTCATTACTGATGTGAAAAATATTTATAGGGGAAGCAGAGTAACAAAGGATTTTCAATGGAGGGAGAAATTCCAAAACAGAGAAAACCACTCTAACACGCAAGTTAATAACAAAATTGACAATAATAGGTTTTAGTACAAAGGAAGAAAACATTCCTCTTCATTATTGATGTGACATATTTATAGAGAATGTATGAAGCACTTATTCTATTCTGAAATTCCTTTGTTTGTAAAACATTTTTTTTTAAAAAAAATGCACCAGCATAATTTGCAAGTCCTATGTTGAAACCCACAAAATAATTGAAATCAAATGTTCAATATAAGACTGTAGAGCAGTACAAAAATCTTTTCTTATCACCCTGTCTTGCTTGTGTCTCCCGGTGTTCACTGTAAATGGTCATAATTATACAAATTCAAACTATTTGCAAGTACCATAATTGCCTAGTTCATTAATTGTTGTGACTTTCGGATGAATTCCGAATCCAAAGAAGACACAGAAATTTGAAGTAGAAACCACCAGCTAATTAATGGCGAATTGCAAGTATTTATGTGTTCCAATCACCATCCAAACAAAATAGCCACTGTTAAAACATGTTTAGTTCTTCACTTGTCTGAACTAGCTATAGTTCTTTGTTAGCATGTCATTGATTCTTAACAGTAAGAGTAATTGATGGTATTGACCAACAAATGTAGTAAGCTTGGCTAGCTTATTTTGATAAGTTAATTCTAAAGAGTTTACAAAAAAGTGGCTTTCATAAGATCAAATAAATTAAATTATTCCATGTGCTTCCTTTGCGAATTGTGGTGAGAGCCTGAGAGGGAATTTCTAAAAACAAATGAGTCTGAAACAGACTTTAAAGTAGAGACTAAGTGCACAAATGTCAGCTTCAAAATGTGGGAGCATAGGACAAAATACAACTTGTTATTTATGGGCCTCAACCCTCATTATAGGGATGTAGTTGTGTATTTTTGCCAAGTTTTTGATGTCTGCTACGTCGAAATATTATAGTCTCATGAGTAAAATTATGACCACATATTTTGCAAAAGTAACAAGTAGACCACAGTGATCTGTTTTCTTGCCAATTTTTATGAAGATTTGACCAATGTGGAGACATTATTTTCATAATGCTAAAGGTCTTATCCTTGAGTTTGAAGTAATGATAGAGATAGAAGAATTGTTGAAGCCAGAAATGGGCTCCATAGGTTGCTGGATGAGGTCAGTTTACTAACTTGGTCATTTTATCTGCAATCTGGTATCTCCCATGTGTATGCAATACCCTTCTGAGTGGTCCAAATTTCAAACTTGCATGATTAGTTTTTCGATTTAAAATGAAATAATGTCGTTGAAATCATCTTGATATGCATATTCATTGTATGTTGAAACATAGTGATGCTACATTATTGTTACAAATACTACGGAAATGACAAATAAACCAGGTTTACATTCACTCTTGCAGACCCAGCACTGCTGGTAGGCCACATTTTAATCACAATATATTATTCGTTTGAGCGATGGACCAAAATTAAAAAAAAAAATACTATGAAACATATCTTAATCCAGAATTGAGTTCAAGAAGTCAATAAAAATAGAGGTCCAAAAAAGAGTCTCACACGCCAGCTTCATATCCTTCCTTATTGTTGAGGACAAAGTGACCTGAACTTTTAGGTTATTGATTTGGTTGGTCCATGTACAAACGGGCAAGCTAGCTTGTGCCCCATTTGGTCAAGAGTTGGGTTAGGTTCTTTCTAATGTTTGGGAAGCCCATATATTTTACGATTCTCTTAACATCCCTTATTATGTATTATTGTCAATGTGTTGTTACGTTCTTATTTATAGAGCTGTTAAACTGGGCTTGGCCCGGCGAGCCAACCCGGCTCACCACGGGTTCGTGCCGGGTTGGGGTAAAAAAAATTTGAAAAGTTTTATACGGTTTAAATTTTAACCGTTTCTAACTAACCTTTTTAGGCATTTTCAGAATTCCGGAACGGCCCGTTTCCCTTTGGGAACTAGAGCTGTCAAAATGGGCTTGGCCCGGCGAGCCAACCCGGCTCACCACGGGTTCGAGCCGGGTTGGGTTAAAAAAAATTTGAAAATTTTAATACGGGTTAAATTTGAACCCGGCTCACCCGGGTTGAACCCGTGGTGAGCCGGGCTGGCCCACCAACCCGTGATTAAATTTTTTTTTTGAAAAAATACAATAATTATTGGGTCATGGTGCAGTCCAACATGAGAAATAATAATTTAATGTTGGATTGTGATTTGTAATTTTTTTGATTTTGGATTGTATTTGAAGTTTAATATAATTTTGGATTATATTTATCTATTTGAGATTATTTAGATTTGATTTGATTGTATTTAAAATTATCATTTAATGTTTGGGATGAATAATTCATTTAAGGATGTCTTAATTAAGAATCTTAGATTTTTAAAATAAGTTTAAATTTTTGAGCTTTAGTTATATATTAAAAAAAAATTGTTTTTTTTTAAGGTGAGCCAACCCGTTTAACCCACCAACCCGTGGTGGGCCGGGCCAGGCTCAATTTTTTTGAGCTCACTGATAAATGAGCCGGGTTGGGTTGGCCCACCAAATGGCCAACCCGTGGTGGGTCGGGCCGGGCCGGGTAGCCCGTTTTGACAGCTCTACGTTCTTATCTCATAAATTTTTAATAAAGCCAAACTTATTAAAAATAGAGATTAGCTAGTAATAGTATCGAGTAAAGCTTCAATTAATCCATAAGATCAATTGAGTCACTTTATAATCTATCTAGATTCAAATCTAGAAGAAAAAAAAATAGTTTTTTTACTAAAAAAAAAGTTATGTATTTTTAGTAGAGAAACTCTTGCAAACTTATATTTAAATGGATTTTCAATCATTTTGTAAAATTCTAATTTAATTTTGTGAAGTTGGGAACTAAATGATGATTTTGTATAGTTGGGGACTACCATGATGATCTTAGAGACTAATTGTAAATGTAACTTGGGCATCTTATATTATGATAGAATGATGTTAGAAACTAAATAACAATACCATCTCAATTTCGACAGAAACACTAGTACAGGGCTTTACCATGAGGCTGTGGTGTTGTGACAAATTGTGATAAAATTATAATGGTGGTTACTCGCGATTTTGACCACTCGAGAAGAGAATAGACCAGAAAGCAAACGATAGGTTGAGAGGAAGGGCCCACAGCTGAATTACGAGCTACATAACTCTGTGGTGGAAACTTCACCCAAGGCAGCATCTGTTCTTTCAAAGGAGTTGTTGGATGTCTTAAACTGATAAGTGACAACCATTTATTTTATATGTATTTAGCCTGCACTTGTACATTAGGATGACCAAGACAAGTTTTTGCGAAATTTCCCGCTGTTCCAACTTTCTGAACTTCCCTCTTTCTGTTCACACCATTGCAGAAACACAAGTACTACTCTTGTTGACATTTTGTCCCTAAATGTATACAAAACAAACTTTTATAGCTGTTACTCAACCACTACTCACTTTTCATCTCTGTTATATCACATGTGAACTATTCCCCCTCTTCTTAAATAATCTCTAACTTTAACTTGTTCATAATGCTTTAATCTTATATTTAACCCTTGTTAATCATATCTATTATTCTTATCAATAAGACCTTGTAACTTTTGCTTTAGGTGATACCCTCTAAGGCTCTAACCATGTAGGTTTGGATAACTTACTGCATAAATATAATAGTTTTCAGAAGACACGTCCTTCACCTATTCATGCCATGGTCTATTCGGGCCTACAATAAAAAAATGAATGTTATAGTGCTTGTCTAGAAATTACTCCGCTCATGGTAACTGTGTATTTTGGTCCCGTTGCTCACACTTTATTCAGAGACCAACAATTAAGCCAATGTAGTGTATGAATGTTTAAACATAATTGGTTTGCAAGTTTGGCATTTTCCACGTAAAATACAAGGCAAATAATAAAACCACGTGCATGAGGAGCATGTTGGGTTTGTCCGTGGCGTTGATGCTAGGTAGATACTTCAGATATAATCGTGCACGTTACATGTCTCTTGGTTGTGTACGAGAATCCTCTCACTGAGTATAGTCGTGTAGTCATTGATTCATACTTTGATCCCCATAGAGACACAAAAAGGTGGAAACAAGATATTGACTATAGAGATCAGCTATTAAGTTGTGCTCTCTTTCTCTCGTGTCCTTGTTAGAGTAAAACTATATTACAGTCTTGTTGTTTTAGTCTAGGCTTTTGGGTTGGTGAGTAAGTATGTGGAAAAGGCTTATTTTGCCAAAACTAGGAAAAATATTGACTAAACTATCTTAGAAGCTATTAATCAAGACAAGCGTAACTTTAGCTAGTACCTCTTATAAAGAATTGAGAAAGCGTCCTAAAGTATCTACCAAATTTGACTCCCAAGCGGACTCATCATATCACCCAGAATTATTGTTTGGCAGGAATATAGCTGTCACTTTGAAAACCCCTCATGCTGTGGACTCTTGCAAACCATCATAACAAGGACATCATGCATCTGCAACATATAGCGAACCATAACCAACTCAGGGTGACAAAAGCAAAGAAACAGGACCACAGTAGAAACAAAGTAACCTCCCCAAATCAGAGGTTTACCAATTTAAGGGTAGTCATTTTCAGCAAATACGCCCAGTGGTCACCGGTCTTAGCCTTTCCCTTTGATCTTTTTTGGGAACTTGGTGGTCTTTAGTGAGTCCAGAAACCCCATTTTCTCTTGTTCCCAATGGCAACCTACGTTGTCAACATTGCTCAATTATTCACTTTCCGAACATAATGTTCGGACAAGGGTCCTAAAGGTTCAAACTTCAGAAAGAAATCATCTTTTCAGAAAAGAAAAGTTCTCTTAAATCACCCATCACCTATATTTGTTGTGGTCAGGTCAAGTACCATAGCTGCTTGAAAACTCATTTTAGAACAATTATTTCCATATGCATCATGTGCTAATGCGTCTTCTGTTTTGACCATTTCACTTGATAATGACAATGAATACAACAAGCAATAATGAAAGCCCGTCTCTAGGCAGATTAACGGAAAGAAGATATTCAGCCTAGTTTTCTTTTCCTAAGAATAGCAGCTTGGTTTTATGACATGGACATGCATCTTCAAATAAGATATAATTCTATTACAGCAAATATTGCAATAAATTATTTGTACCCGAACAACGAATAGCTTAAAGTCCAATGTTCAGATTTATTGTCAAACCGGAAAAATGTGAGATATGACTTGTAGGAATATTGGGACACCCATACACTTCAACTTCCTACAGTCATTTTTTCTCCCTTTAGCGGGCATTATAAAAAACGTGAGACCAAAATAGCAGGAAAATATCGCGAGTCAAATAGATCCAATTATATCTTTTGGACTAAACTTGGATACATTTCATAAGATGCTATTATGTTTTTCAATTAGAATTCAAATTTTACCTCAGTAATTCCCATAATCCTCTAATGCAACCTTTTATTATACAAATTACACCGAGTGAAACTTCAATTCTTATTTGAAAACAATTACAAAAATTACACCAAGTAAAACTTCAATTCTTCTTAAAAAAAACCACCTACTAAACTGTTTCTATGATTCTCCTAGAATTATAACTACATTTTCCGGTACAGGACTTGGAATGCATAATCACAAATCAAGCATGCCACCAAAATCCTTCACCTAAAATTACAGTCAAGTTCCTCAATTCTCATATATGGCTAAAAGGAAGTAACTAATACCATAAAAATCTTAATAGCCCATACTTCCATCAAATTCAAACAAATTGGGATGGCCAGGAAAGTAAATATATTTGTACAATAATTATGTTATTCAAAAGATGGGGGATTCCATCTCCATGTGAGAGTACCCTGTCCCCTAAAGTAACAGAAAGGTATGTACTGATAGAAGAAACCGCCAGTATCTCCTTCGTATAGAAGAACACCATATTTTTTCTTATCGAGTTTGATTTGATCTTGTACAAGATATTCATTAATAAATCTAATGGATCAATGAAGACATTTCCCCCATCTTTGATTAACAGTTAGCAAAATCCATAAACAGTTCTTAATCTGCATAAACAGGGGAGAGATCCGCACATTGGCAGATGATAAGCAAAGGAAATTTCTTGATTGTGCTTATTGACAAATATCTCAAGACAAGTAAAAACTGCACCGAAAATATAACTCAGGTAGAATTACAAGTTTATAACTCATATTTCTACTCAGTATCAGATCCCTTTTCCACCTCAAACGACAAAGTGGAGGAGGGAATCTCAGTCTCCGCCTCATCAATTTTCAAATTTTGGCTAGAAATTGTCTATAACTAAGAACATAATTTAGTTGTGTATTGATAACATAACTGCCAGATTTATGAGAAAGAAAGCTACCACATTTGAAGCAAATACTAAGATCAATATTAACGAGGGCTATTAAGAACATCAATTGACACACGATTAACAGAAGGCAATCTCATTTGCTGGTCCTGAGCTCTTCTCCTCTTAAGCAGAGGCTCCGGCAAAAGTGAGCCCGATGATGACACAGCCCATGAATCATTGGAGCTATCACAACTGAAAGATGCATCAATGACACCACCAGGGCTACCCGGTACAGATAGACGCTTGCGTTTCTGGTGAAGGCTGTAAATGCCTTCATAGCAACCTAATAGTTTCTGCATGAGTTTGTAGCACTGGTTCACTTGTTCCTGTAAGATCACCACCCACATTTTCCAAATTACACACTAAATCAATAAAAGATTCAAAAATTCAATTAACATGCACAAGGCAGACACAGAACCAATGAAGTTAAAGAGACAAACCTCACTAATCTTCAGTAAACCCAGAAGCTGATCAATATACTCGGTCTCATTAAATGGTTCAATCTCTTTAATAACATGGATCATTGTAGCAGCGGCCAATGTAGAAGGAAGATAACTCATAACCCTCAAATCTGACAACAATTATGACATTACATATACATATATCAGCAATCTTAATGGCACAACTCCTATTGCCATAACAAAATGAAATCTAGTGTTTCATAACTAATTAAATGCAAACTAGAAATTTTGTTACATACCTGCAATGACATTGAGAAGAACCCGCTCACATCGCCATAGGAACTCCCAATGCATACGGCTCTTCAAACCAAGCCTTCTCACAATGTGTTCAAAGAAGGAAATTGGGGTCACCGGATGCATCCTCCATTTAAGAGTAGACAACACCAACAACTCCATTCTCTGAATAGTCTTTGCTTCAAACACAAACCTTGACTCCTCCACCTAGGAAAAGAAACCACCAAGAGCAAGTGTATAAGAAACAAAACAAAAAAGAATGTCATATAAACAAACACCTAGACTTCATCTCAAAGTCAAAACATACTTGAAGGTCCAAAAGAAGCGGCACATGGGTCTCTTCCGTCTTGGCAGCAAGGGACAAACAAGCCACGGCAGTGAGCTGTGTCATCCATGGTTTGTCCCTCTGAAACCTCAAACTTGTAATGAACCTATCAAAGTAGTTAACAGCAAGAACAATGGTCAAACAAGAGAACCCATAATGTCCACACACTTTGGAAATCCAGTTCACAGCCTCCACACGAGGCCCTTCCAAGGGCCCATCAGCAATGACACTGAGAGAACACAAATGGGTCTCTCCCTCTTTCGAGATTAAAGACACAAGCTCTTCATCTTCCCAGAACAGGTCATTGTCCAGCAAAACCAAGGGTAAAGATTGCGGCTTTCTCGCAGATGGGTCATTGTTATTGGTCTCACACTCATCACCGTTCTCATCAAAATCCCCCTCGAAAGTGTCTCGCTCTTCACATAAAAGGGCATCGAGGAGCGAGGGAGATTGGTGTGATGCATCGTCGCCAAGAGCCATCTTCTAGAGAGAAGAAACGTTTATTCATTGTAGTGAAGAAACGGTGCGCAGAGCCATTTTCAACTCTGCGAATGTTTCTCTCACTAGAGGGAGTCGGGGAGAGATAATGTGAGAGAGAGGGATGCAGTAATCAAACAAAGGGTTTTATCTGAGAAGCACTTCACGCTTGTCCTTTTCTTTCTACTTTTATTCTTCTCCTTTTTTTTTATGGTCTGTTCCCATTTTAATATGTATTTATATTGAAGAGCGAGCGAGACAGGCTGTTTGGCGCGCAGAAAAACAGCGCGTAACGGCGAGAGAAATATCACGTTGTATTTTGAATTCGAATTATGGGATGTAACAATATGGTTTGTCTTTTGAAGATTTCATCAACGTTGACGTTTGATTCCATCCGTTCATTTTTGTTCACATGCTACATTTTTAAATAATTCTTTTTATTTAACATATACTCTTTTATATATTTTATGAGAAAATAAATATTTTATGTTTTAATTTATTTTATTTAAAAAAAAACTAGAGTTTAAATAATGATGATTGATTTATCAAAGTAATAAAACAATTGTTTATCATCAGTTTTATTAGTTAAAAAATAATAGAACTTAAATAACATACTCAATTAATTTTATAAATACAATTATGACATATTAATTTTATCTTTTTTATTTAATAATAAATTATTATGAAAGAGGTTCAAATTTTTTTAACATATATTACTAAATTTAATAAATGACTATTTGAGAGTTTAAGAGAATAGAGAAAATATTTTTTTTCTAAATTTTTTTTCTCATTATCCAACAAGAAATACATATTCATAATCTTTAATAGGGACAAAAATGAAAAGAAAAAAAAAATATATATATATAAACAGTAAAATATCGTATTTAAAAGATTATTATTTTTTAATTGTTTTATATAAAAATTTAAAAGTAAAAATGAAAATATATCATATTTTAAACAATAGTCTATGATCTACCTTATTTGAAGTTTAATCTATTTAATAAAAATATCAAACTTAAATTTTAAAAAAATTTATTTATTTAAAGAGATTGTACTTAGACTTATAAAAAAATTATGTTAGATGATACGTCAATTTTTTTATTTATAATATAATAATAAATAATATATATATATATAACATTATTAACAATATAGTTAAGTAAATAAATTTGTGATACAAAAATTTAAATTATCAATATTTTTTACATTTTTATTACACTTAAACATTTTATGTTCCTTAATCAATGTCGAAAATAAAAAGTCTAAATAAATTATTATGAAAGAGGTAAAAATATTAATCTCTTTATCAAATTTTTTTTACAAATACCACTAAATTTAATAAATGACAATTTGTGAGTTCAAGAGATAAGAGAGATTTTTTTTTCAAATTCTCTTCTCATTATTTAACAAGAAAGACATTATTAAAAATTTAATAAATGACAATTTAAGAGTTTAAGAGATAAGAGAGAACATTTTGTTCTCTCAAATTCTCTTCTTGTTATTCAACAAAAGAAAAATACATATTCTTAATCCTTGATAGGAAAAAAATTATTTTATAAAAACATCAAAATATCTTATTAAAAGACCATTTTTTTAAAAGTTTTGTCTTGTATAAAATATCAATAGTGAGGATGAAAATAAGTTGGATGTCTATGACCTGACTTATTTAAAGTCAGGTCTATATAATAAAAAGTCAGCCTTAGACTTTTAAAAAAAATATTTATTTAAAGATATAGACTTTAAAAATAGTATGTTAAGTTTGAAGAGTAAATATATTTATCTATAATATAATAATAAAATAATATATATAATATTATTAATAATATAATTAAATAAATAAATTTATGATACAAAAATTTAAATTATCAATATTTTTTTTACATTTTTATTACATTTAAACATTTTATGTTCCTTATTTAATATTAAAATTAAAAATTCTAAAAACAATTATGACTGAAATAAAAATATTATTCTCTTATCAAAATTTGTTAACAAATACCACTGAATTTAATAAAAGACAATTTGAGAGTTTAAGAGATAAAAGAGAATATTTTTTATTTCAAATTCTCTTCTCATTATTCAACAAGAAATACATATTATTGAGAATTTAAAAAAAATGACAATTTGAGAGTTAAAGAGATAAGAGAGAACATTTTTGTCAACGTTTTTTTTTCTTCATCTTCATGGTTGATTATTTATAATACTTTAAGAGCACAATTAATATGTGGAATATTTTTACTTTCTTAAGAATTCTAAAAGTTGGTTCATAAATGATTGAAAAAATTTTCTAAAAGCACATTTAATACGTGGAATATTTTTATTTTCTTTCATTGTAGTGCAATTATTCTTTTTAATAAAAATTTAAATTTGATTCATAAATGATTAAAAAAAATTTAAAAGTTGAATTTCTTAAAATTTCTTATCATTGGAATAAATTTTTGTTTGAGTTGTTTAATGCTGACATGGCATACTAGGGACCACTTTTTTAATTTTTCAATGCATGAAGCAACTCAAATGAGTTGCTTCTATTAGAGATGTCGTTGCTTCATGCATTGAAAAATGAAAAAAGTGGTCCCCAATGTGTCATGTTAACATTAAGCAACTCAAATACAAATTTATTCCAATGGTAAAAAAATTTTAAAAAATTCAACTTTTAGAATTTTTTTCTAATCATTTATGAACCAAATTTAATTTTGTATTAAAAAGGATAATTGCACTACAATGAATAAAATAAATTACGAGAAAAAATACACAATAAGTAGATATTAAAAATAAAATAAAACAATAATAAATACATAAAATTATAAGAAATTAATTTTCATAATTATTATTTCTGAAATGTTCCAAAATATGTTCAATAAGATCTGCTTGAAATCTGGTAAGGAACAGTTGCTTAAGGAAGCAACTCTCTCTCTTCTTCAAACAACTCATGTTACCACGTCAGAATCCTCCATTAGCAAGAAATCGGAGCTTGAGTTGCTTCATGGAACAAACAACTCTCATTAAAGTTGTTCTTAGAAAACATTCATATGAGAGACCTGGAAATGTAACTTTTCTATGTTAGTAGAAAAAATTTATGTATATAAAAAAACCACAATATCCCATTTTTAAAAATAGAAAGTCTCTCTTTCTCTCTTCTTACTCCGCGTCTCTTCCTCTTTCTTTCCTTTTTCCTCTCTCTCTTCCTATTAATATTTCTCCCTCTCTTTGTCTCTCTCACTCTCACTCTCCCCTCTCTCCTTTTCATTTTCCCTCTCCCTCTCTCTCCTTATATTTTTATTTGTATTTCTCCCTCTCTCTTTGTCTTTGTCACTCTCACTCCCCATCTCTTCGTCTCCCTCCCTCTTTCCCTCATACATCTCTATTTCTCTTGCTCTCTCCCTTTCTTATATTTAATTATTTTTTTACCTTTTCAATTTTAGTAATATTATTAAAGTCTGTTTGTTTTTATAATTTAATAGTATTTGTTAACATTTATTTATTTATTTGAATAAAATAAAATAATAGATTTTAATATTCTTATTTATTATATAGCCTTTTTTCTATGTTTATTTCTTTTTGTTGAATTGTTTATTTGCATAATGTTAACTATAAATTTTTAAAATAGTTTAATGTCATCTTTTGAATAAGATTTGAGAAAATAAATTTATCTAACGAGATTATTTTAATAAAGAATATTTTTATAAAAAATATTCATATACCTAAAAATATATTATTATAATTAAACATAAAAATCTCTAATTCTCAAAAATCTTAAATGAATATTTTCAAGAACACTTATTTCAAGAACACTTATGAGTAACAAATAAATTTTAATTATTCCCAAGAATCATGATTACTGAATTTGTAATTACCAATAATCATAATTCTTGGGTATGAAAAAGTTTCTCTGTGTCAAATGCCCCTATTTAAATTTTTTAATAAGATTATCTGATTCCTTATAGTTTGTGTGTAAATGTACATCAATGTATCATGTATGCATGAGTTGTCCCCTGATTGGTTTCTTATTTTTTTATTATTTTAAATTATAAATTTTAATAATAACAAAATAAATTATTTTTTATCATGTAAATTAAAAAAGACTTATCATGTAGACTAAATAAAGACTCATATGTATATTTTAAAATATAATTGTAAGTTTTTTAAAATTAAATTTATTGATTTATTTAACATTATTAATGTGAAATAGACTTTTAAATTGACTAATTACAAAATAGGTTTTCATATAAATTAATGAGTCATGTCAATTTTTAAAATTTTCTAAACAGACATATAGAAAAAAGTTTATAATAAATAATAAGTCAATTAAACTTTAGTTTTATAGAAAAAGTCTGATTTATATATTTAAAATTTGACAAGATATAATTTATTTTTATCCCTAATATAAATTATAGTTATATAAAATAAATTATCATGTACATTGGACAACGTTGTACATCATAAAATACTAATTATATTATATTATGATTTACATTTTACATTAAACATAAATAACATTTTAGTATGTGAATTAAAACAAGAAAAATATTTTTATTATTAAATTTATAATAACTAAAAATACTTTTAAATATATAAATAATATTAAAATTAAAAAAGACTAAATGTATATCTTTAAAATATAAATTATATTTTTTATTTATAATAAATAATTTAAATAATAATACAAGGATTTAATTATTAAAAATTAATTTAGCGATAAAAATAAAATAACGTAAATGGAATGAAATGGACAATTGAGATAATTTTAAACATGATTTTTTGACTAGTTATAAGACGTTGTGTATAATCCAAGAGAAAGAAAACAAAAAATATTGTGATTCCTAACTCAAAAAAAAAATGAGAATTTTATTTTATAAATTTGTGAAAATATTAGTAAAAATTACATGCATCTATATATTGTATTGTTGAGAAATTACGTAGAATTTTTTATAATTAATTAAATTTGCAAGAAACAAAATAAATGTTTTACTAATTATGCCTACGTCATTAAGTTGTTACAAATATATTATTAAAAAAGAAGAAAATATAAATAGTATTTACAAACACTCAACTCATAACTAAAATATACCCAAAGGATAAAATATTATTTTCTAAAATCTTATTCTATATCTCTATCTTTTTCTCTCTTGTAATTTTATAGCATGATGTTATTTATATATGCATGCAAAGTTTCTATTTCTCTCGGCTTATATTCCTATT